GGTAGCGTCCCCGGGGCGGCCCGGAGCCGCGTCCCCCGGCTGCTGTCAGGCGCTGGCGGCGGAAATGAGGCGCTGGCCGTTTTCCGAGCCGGGGTTTCCTGCCTGAGCGCCGAGAGGCCGTGCGACGACGACGCCATGGGCCGGCCGGGCCCCGACCCGCAGCTTGCGCGGTAAGCGCGGCCCCGCCGAGCGCGCTTGGAGGAACCGGGCGGCCGCCTGCGCCCCGCTTCTGTTTTTCTGGCGTTTCCTCATTCTGTTTCTCTTCCCCAATCCCAGAGACCGCAGCGATGTGGGCGCGGAGGTCAGTGCTTGCAGCTGGGGCCTCCCGGAGAGGGGGCCTGGCGGGGCGCCGCGGGAGGAACCGAGAGCCGCCCTGGGGACACAGCGTGCTTGGCCCCTGCCGGGGAAGGGGGGCGGCGGACACGTGTGTCACTGACCTGACAGGCGGAGCAAAATCGGCCCTGGTGATCTGGAGGGGTGGCATACCGATCCCTCCAGGCGGAAAGCAGGCAGAGGTCGTGGCCGGGCAGGCCCATGACAGGCAAGGGTTTTAGGCTCTTAGGACACGCTTCTGAGCCTTGTCCCGCCGGCCCCCCCACCGGGAGGGGGGCTCCATCTGGGCCAAGGGATGAATACATTCTGGAACTTGTGCAGTCCCTATGGGCCCACGGGGGCGGCCAGCTGGGGAGGGACTGACCCGAAGCAGCAGCAGCAGCAGCAGCAGCAGCAGCAGCAGCGTGGTCTGGGGCCCTCAAGAGCTGGGCCGTGGCAGAGGAGGAAACAGAGGGTCCTAGAGACAGAACTTGAATCCTTCCTCCCTCTGCTTTGTAAGCTGAGAGCGAGCCGACCTCAGTTTCCCCTCGGTTAGGCGGGTAATAAGAGATTTGCGGTGCAGTTTTAATGAGGTGTAGTTTTAATGAGGTGTAGTTTTAATGAGGCTGGTGTGTGGCAGTCACCTGTGCCGGCCTGGCCTGGCCCTGGCAGAGAAGATCTCAATTACAGGCGTTTCACACTGTCCTGTTTTACGGACCCGAGCCGTGGGACCTTCCTTAGCTCTCCTGAGCACCCGCTGCTCTGGGGTTCCCCAGATCTTTGGGTGGGGGAACTCTGAAGGACCCAGGCAGGGTCAGGTGACAGCCCCTTCCTGGTCTTGGTCTCTTCAGTTGACACCTACCTTCTTGTGATGACCACCAGAGCACAGAATGGCTTGAGTCATGGCAAGGGTGTTATCTGTTTGGTTGAGGTCATTTCTGCTCCTGTTCCTTCCTGCCTCGGTGGCCCCCAAGTCTGTCACCCAGTGCCTGGTCCTTCCTGTTCAAGAGGTAACCTTCTTAGACGAGTTGAGGTCCTTTGAGCAGCTGGGCCGTGCAGTCAGCTTGTGTACCTGAGGAAATCTCAATCCAGCTGGGACAGAGCTGGAGGTACTTGGGTGCCCTTCCTGGCTTCCAGGCTCAGGGTGCCCTCTCTAACATGAGTGACAGATGGAGAGCTCCGGTGACCTCACAGGGAGCTAACGGCCCCCAGCTTGGTCTTATACTCGTGCAGAGCACGCCTTTGGGGTCCATTGTATGTGGGGTCCAGCCTATTGCCTCTGAGGCTAGTCAGCTTCTGGATCTCCCATTGCTGTGACTCTTTGGGTGGTCACTTAACCTCTCTGAGGCAGAGTCATCCGGAGTGGGAAGGGATTTAACTGCCGTGGAGTCTGGCCCACACAGAGATGGAACAGATAGCATTGTTGGAATGGGAGGCCTTTCCTCTCACGTCCCCACTTCTCCTTGGGGGCAGCACGCAGGTAGAGACTCAGGCTGCTAGCTTTAGGTGTGAGGCCCTGGGCAAGTGACCTGCCATCTCTTGAGACCTGCCCAATGTGGACCAAGTCTCTGCCCCTCTAGGGTGATGGCTGTGCCACGTGGGAGCCTGCCAAGGAGTAGGCATTCGAACTGGGTCGGCTGTACGTGTGCTGGCTGTGAGGTGTTAGGTTGGTGTTTTACCATCTCTGAGCTACAAGTGTTCTCAGAGCTCTGAAGTGGGGTGCTTGCTGAAGGACAGTTGTTCCGAGAGAGGCATGCAGTGTCGGCATGAGGTTAGTGCTCGGTAAGTTCAAGCTACTGCTATTAATCCCGGCATGGGGTGACTGGCACTTAATTGCCAGGCTTCCTGGGAAAACGGTCCCTAGGGCCCCCGGGTGTTGAGCGGCTCTGGTTGGGCGGGGCGGGGCAGGAAGCAGCTCCCATCTGGAGTGTCTGCAGGGGCTGCTTGCTCCTGCCAGGCCTGTTCCCAGGCACCCACCCTCCCCAAGGAAACTGAGGCTGGCAGGCTGCCTAGAGGAAATGACTCAGTGGGGGTCACTGGCTGAGTCATGCCTAATTGGACCCAGGAGCCCTGCACCCCAGCTCCCAGCTTCCGGGGGCTTGAGGTCCCTCAGGGACTGGGTAGGTCTCAGGCCTGGCTGCATGTCCATGGCCACGGCTCGACACCACCTACTTAAGCCCCATGATTCAGACAACCAGTGTCCCTTGGTCAGTGCTCTGGGGTCCCACTGACCACCCCTGGGCTGTCTAGCCCAGTGTCCCTCTTCTCATGGGGACAAGAGACAGGTCCCTAAGGGACCTGATGGCCTGCCCCACCCTGGCCAGCCGGAAACCCAGCAGCTGAGCAGATGGCTGAAAGATTTTTCCTCCCACACAACCCTGTCAAGGGTCGGCAGGGGGGCCAGCCCCCCCCACCCCCCGGGCTTCCTTGTGAGCCAGGCCTGGAGCCCCTTGAGGCCTGTCCGGATGTGCCCCCCCAGCTGCTGTGGGGGTGCTGCTTGGTCCGCAGGGAGGCCTGGAGGGAGGAAGTGTGTGCCCTGCTTGTGGGGCTGACTCACGGCAGCTGACTGGGGGCGGGGCCAGACTAGGGGTAGGGGCTCAGCGTGGCTGCTTGAGGCAGGAGGTAGACTTACCTTTCAGACCCCACACTGGTGGCCTCTCCATAGAGCCCAAGGACTGATCTGGGTGGGAAGGGGCGCACAAGGGTCAGGGGCTGTTGGTTCATTCTCCTTAAAGCCCCAGGCAGTTGAGGAGCTGGGAGGCTCTCCCTGATAGTGAGGTACATCTTCTGCCACCACCTCTGTAACTGTCAACCCTGAGGCTGGTGAAGGAAGCCCTGACTGGTAAAGAGAGGGTACACTGCTCTTGGGGGCTGGCCCCCTGCTCTCCCCACCTCTTGGAGCCTGTCTGGGGTAGTGGCTGTCTGGTGTCAAGTTGCCAGGGGCAGGGTACACAGGAGGAGTTAGGGTAGAGGAAGCCGGGTGACGCTTCTCATTCTGGCAGACTGGGCCAGCCTGGTGACCCCTGAATGGGCCTCACTGACTGTCAAGTGGTCTAGCCTTAGTCTTTCAGGGCCAAACTGATTCCTATGCACCCTGTTTCTTGTGGGCTAGAATTTGAGTTGTGTGCACTGGGTCTTTTCAGCTCTGTAGCATAGTCTGTTTGGAGGCCTCCTTGGAGGAGGTAGCCTTTAGAGGATGGTGTGGGGCTTCCTGTCCCAGCATCTAGGGGTGGAGCAGGTACAACTCTTGGGTACATACACACGGAGCAGCCCTCCTGGCCTGGCAGGTGGAGTGTTCCAGGCGTCCTCTGCACCTGTGGGATGGGGGTGGTGGCCAAGCTGAGAGGCTGCTGAGCCAGCTTTACAGTCATGGGCTGGGGTGGTCACAGAGTCCCCTCCAGCACCCCTCCATTCTCGCTGACTGGACAGGCCCTCTGTCCTGGGGGTGGCTGTGCCCGAGCAGGAGCATCTCAGCTTAGCTGCAGCTCCTGCGGACCAGCACTGCCTGCCTGGGTTGCCTGTGGCTGTCTGTGGCTGTCTGGGGGCAATGAGGGTGTTCGGAGATGCCACTCACCTCGCTGACTGCAGGGAGCTAGCTGCCCTGCTTGTTTGCCATGGGGACTTGGGGACAGGGGAACAAGCTTTCCAGGGCCCAGCTTTTCTTTCTTGTCCCCGCGGCTGAGCCCAGGTGGGTGGATGAGGCTGTGTCCTCTCTGTGGGGAAGGGCAGGAGAGGAGAGCCATACTGACAGAGCCTGTCACGAGCTGACCCTGGGGCTCCTGGGGCCGAGCTCTGTGCCTTCCTTCTCTCAGTTTCTCCATCTCATCCCAGGGTTGTCACAGCTGAGCAGCTGTGCTGCATCTCCTAGCACATGGAAAGTATTCAGTCACTGAAGAGGACCATCTTCCTGCCGCCTAACCCCCCTGGCCACCCCGCCTGGAGCCACCTCGGCCTGGGACAGTCTGTGTTCCACAGCCATGCCACCCATACTGTCTGACCCAGAACTGGGTGCCTCCTAAGGCTTGGGCTTTGCAGGTGGGCGGCCTGATTCACCTCCATTGCTCTTCTAAGTGTCAGGGATAAGCAACACAGCCGTTCTCTCCAGCCTGTGCCACCCTACCACAGCTTTGAGTGCCGCCGACAGGTGCCTATCAACGCCTGTCTGCCTGTCCTGCTGCCTCTGGGCAAGGTGTAGTGGGGGCAGCGCCCAGGGCTGTGGGGTAGGGTCCTAGAGGGGTGTCCTTCCTCCCTAGGGGTGTTCTTAGTGCCCCATGTTGGAGTGGGGCAGGTGGAGTGCCAGCCTGCCTTGCCCAACTGCAGAGGCACCTGGGGGCACTTGCTCTGAGTGTGGGTGTGGTAGGAGCGCCTCAGAGTGGTGGAAATGGATGGTACGCAGTATTTCTGGCTCCAGCCCGTGTTTGTGAGCAGGCTGGATGGAGTCTGTCCCCTCTGGGTGGCTGTGGGTCCTTGAGCAAGCCCACCTCCCATGCCTTGATTTCCCCATCTTTAACCTGAGCCTAAGGCCAGGACAGCCAGCTAGTGAGGGTTCGGGGAGCCTGGAGTAGAGCCGTACATTTCAGTGGGAGTGGGTGGGCTTTCCTTGTGCACTCTGACTACTTCTGCAGTTGGTCGGTTTGGGCTGTGGCAGGCCGCTGGTCACTTGCCGCTTCAGCAGAGCTGAAACAGTCCTGCATATTCTGGGCTGTGCTGTAAGCTCTCCGCAGGATGTAGAAGTTAGTTCCTGGGGTGCATTTGGGCTCTTTGGGGTTCCCTCTGTGAGTGCTGCACTGGTCACCCTGTGGTTTCATTCCTGCACCCTAGGGGTTCAGGGAGGCCTAGAGTTTGTCTTTGAAGAAGTGGTCAGAAGGGTGCCTAGCCAGTGTCCCCTTTGTGAGGGGCACTGGGGTGTGCGCACAGCTGGACCTGGCTCGCAGCCTGTGTGGAAGGTCCTGCCAGGGTCTGCCTCTGCAGCTGATAGACAGAGTGACTAGGCACAAGTTCCAGATGAAGGGGCAGGCAGGCTAGGAAAGATGGTGGCCAGTGGGTGGTGTGGTCACCAGGCATCTGTCTACCTGTGTTTATCCTTAGACTGGCGTGTGGCGCAGCTGTAGAGCTGCTGTATGTAGCCTGTGGGAAGCCTGGGTTCTATCCCTAGCACCACAGAAACCCAGTCCATGTCCAGAAACCCAGCTCTCAGAAGCTGGAGGCGGGAGGAGGCCAGCCTGGGCTACATGAGGCCATGTCAAGAGGAAACAGTTCTTTATGCCAGGCCTGCAGGAGGAGGATGTGCCCAAATCCCGTTTGGGCTGTGTAGTGAGACTTAAAGTTGTGTGTGTTTCATGGAGCCCCTGCTGTGGCAGGAAGTGGATGAGAGCAGGTGTGCCCTGGTCCCAGGGCCATAGTCTGGTGGAGATGGCCTCTGACAAATCCCCACTGCCGAGGACAGTTGTGAGCAGTATGCTGAGGACAGATTCAGGACTTGGTGCTTCTCTTGTGATGTTATGAAAGCAGAAAGAATCCAGCCCAGTGGCCCCTGCAGTGTGAGGATGGGACTGGAGCTACGATGTGTGCACTCAGCTGTGGGTCATCCAGGCTCTGAAGGCTGTGTCAAGGCCTGGTGTGTGGGAGTACAGCACTGACTAAGGCTGGGACTAGGTGCTCCTCATGGGGAGCTGGGCAGAGTGAGATGGGCTTGGTTAGATGTGGCCTGTTCCTTTCTGCCTCCTGGCTTTTACTGCTTCCTATGTGCAAAGTGCCTACTGTGTGCTAAGGACCTTACGGTATGGTATGCAAAGTACTGACAGAGTGCAGTGTCCCCCCAGTGAGAGCACGGGCCTCTGGACTAGAGCTGAAGTGTCCTGTCATGCTGGAAGTGACTGTCCACCCTTACTTGTCTATTCTGGGTCTCCAGGGCACAGGCCACAGAGGAGAAAGTGCCTGTGGTAGGGATAGCAAAAAGAGCCCCACTTGTGGGCCCAGCCGTTCCCCTCTAGTCATGGCAAACATTTTATGATTTTAGGTGCATTGGTGTTTCATTTTTTGGTTTTTCAAGACAGGGTTTCTCTGTGTAGCTTTGCCTGTCCTGGATCTTGCTCTGTAGACCAGGCTGGCCTTGAACTCACAGAGATCCACCTGCCCCTGCCTCCCTCTGCTGGGATTAAAAGTGTGCGCCACCACCGCCCGGCATGCATTGGTGTTTTGCCTGCATTTATGTCCTATGTGGGTGTCACATCACTTTGAGCTTGATTACAGACAGTTGTGAGCTGCCATGTGGGTGCTAGGAATTGAACCCGGGTCCTCTGGAAGAGCAGCCAGTGCTCTTAACTGCTGAGCCATCTCTCCAGCCCCCTAACATTTAATGAGCTGGAAATTGAGGTTCAGAGAGATGCAGTCTGGTGACAGTGTCCCCACAGCCAGTGCCTGGTCCCCTTCGCAGTGAGCCCTGGGGGACGAGGTTGGTTTGTTTTGAGACAGGTCTCCTGAAGCCCAGGACGGCCTCCAGTTCACTGTGCAACCACAGATGATCTAGAACTCTTGACCATTCCTGCGCTGGGGTTATAGGCACATGCCACCACACCAGCTAAGGTTTAAATATCTTGCCTGTTACTGTTGTGTCCCTGGGGCCGAATGCAGTGTCTGGTACACAGTGTATTGTGTGGGATCAATGGGTGGGTGGGGATGGAGGTGGGTCTTGTTCACGGGTCCTTGCATCTGGCCTGTGACAGGCAAGCTGGGTGGGTGGCCCTGTTCACTCAGGCTGAGCTTCAGAGATGTCCCTGTGCCTGGCTCCTCCGTGATTATCTTCTCCAAGGACAGTGCAGGGGTGACCCACTGACTGACATCTTGTCTTGCGCCTGTGTCTGCCTAGAGATGCCTGCATCCCTGTGAATCTGGTCAGTACAGGCTGTATGTCATCTCTAATGGGCTGCCCCCACGCTTGCTACAACATTTGAATGAGGACAGCATCCCACTGAACTTTTCCAGACTCTAGGCCATTCTCAACTGAGTCTTTAATAACGCTGGGGATGACTCCCCTGTGACGTGGGAAGCTGAGGTGGAGAATCACTTGAGGTCACTCAAGATCACGTGTAACTAGTGAGAGGTGGGACTGGGATTTGGACGTAGGCTTCAGAGTCCATGTCCCCAACCATGCCTTTTAGAGATGGGCAGTAACCCGCTACCTTAGACCCTCCCCTGCGAGCCAAACCTGCCCCAGGTCTACTGTTTCAGGACGGACTGCCTGCCTGCCAGGCCTGTCCTGACCACCATTAGATGTGTTACCGTGCCGGAGAGGGACGTGTGAGCCTTGGGTTGCATGCTCCGTGAATAAGGTTCTATAGGGTGGACTGTTGGGCCTGATTTCGGGGTGACGTTGGTGCTTCCTGGAGGAGGGGGTAGATTGCCTCCTGCTACAGGGCAGAGGCAGTGCCCTGCTGCCGCAGCGTTGGGGCAGGGTTGTCACAATGGCAGGGAGCTGTGGTCAGGGCTCTGGACGTGAGCAAGTGTTTACCCTGAAAACTTTCAGCTGTGGGAAACGGGTGTAAAATTACTCTTGATATACTGCCCCTACAGAAGTTGTACTGCGGGCTGGAGAGATAGATGGCTCAGTGGTTAAGAGCACTGGCTGATCTTCCAAAGGTCCTGAGTTCAATTCCCAGCAACCACATGGTGGTTCACAACCATCTGTAATGAGCTCTGGCGCCCTCTTCTGGCCTGCAGACAGAACACTATATACATAATAAATATTAAAAAAAAAAAAAAGTTGTACTGCAGCTGGGTGGTGGTGGTGGTAGCGCACGCCTTTAATCCCAGCAGAGGGAGGCAGAGGCAGGAGGATCTCTGTGAGTTCGAGGCCAGCCTGGTCTACAGAGTGAGTTCCAGGCTAGGCTCCAAAGCTACACAGAGAAACCCTGTCTCGAGAAACAACAAAAGAAGGTGTACTGCTTCACAGAACACACCCTAGGTAGTAAAGCTCCGGTGGTTTAGTCTTCAGCAGCCCTGGGTGTCACTGGCCAGTTTTACTTTGGGTGGGCAGTTCCCCTCATCCAAAATTTTACTCCCCATGGTCAGCCGCTTGAAACCACTAGACGGAAAATTCCAGAAAACCCCATGCATGGCTCTGAGAGGCGCTGAGCTCTGGGAGTCCCACTTGAGTAAGCAGCTCCTCCCCGGTGGCTCTCGCCTCCCCACTGTATCCACCTTGTATGCACTGCCCGCCCTGCTCTGCTGGTTTCCACGTGCGGGGTGCCCGGGGTGCCCGCGGGGGGCGGGGACGTTCCCTGGCTCACTGCCCTCTGTCCTGTCTTGCAGCCCGGCCGCCCCGCCTCGCTCTCCGCCATGAACGGGCCCACCGTGCAGCCGTCCCGCACGTCCTCGGCACCCGCGTCGCCCGCGTCCCCGCGCGGCTGGAGCGACTTCTGTGAGCGGCACGCCGCGGCGGCGGCGCGGGAGCTGGCCCGCCAGTACTGGCTGTTCGCGCGCGCGCACCCCCAGCCGCCGCGCGCCGACCTGGTGTCGCTGCAGTTCGCCGAGCTTTTCCAGCGCCACTTCTGCCGCGAGGTGCGCGAGGGCCTGGCGGGGCCACCGGGCCGCGACTACCGTGCCACTGCCCCGCATCACCGCCCCGCGCTGCCCAAGGCACGCAGCTCCGAGGACCTGGGCCCGCGGCCGGCCTGCGCCCTGCAGCACCTGCGCCGCGGCCTGCGCCAGCTCTTCCGCCGCCGCTCGGCCGGGGAGCTGCCGGGGGCCGCCAGCGACCCCAGCGACCCCGACCCCTCCGCCGCCACCAGGCCGGGCCCAGCCCGCAAGCTGCTACCCTGGAGCCTGCGGGAGCCGCCGGCCGAGGCGCTTAAGGAGGCGGCGCTGCGCTACAGCCTGGCGGACGAGGCAGCCATGGACAGTGGCGCGCGCTGGCAGCGGGGTCGCCTGGTGCTGCGGGCCCCCGGTCCAGGCCACGGCCGCCTGCTGCAGCTCTTCGACCCGCCCAAGGTGAGCGCCCTGCAGAGTATGCAACAGCATGCCCATAGCTCGGTAGGCCTCTGTGGCCCGGACTCTTCCAGGACAGTGAGTCTGCGATCCTGGAGAGTCCAAGGTCACGCTGTGGATGGGTTGGAGCAGGTTAGTTCGGAGTCTCAGGAAGTCCCGAAGGGCTGAGTGGCACCCCGTCTACCTGCAGTTTCTTTTCTGGACATTTGTTCCCTCCTGGCTGGTGGCCAGGGCAGGTGAGGCCCAGGGTCTTTGTGCTGTGCGGCAGCCGCATCCATCCCTCCTACGTGGGTGTGTGAGGCCCGGCTGCCTGTCTTGATTTCCACTCCGTTCTCTGTGGTCCCATTCAGTGTGACAGAGGCTGTAGGGTGAGTGGAGTGAGCGAGCCCAGCCCCAGGGCACTGATGTCACAGGACAGATCTTTGTCAGCACATACTGTATGCTAAGCACACATTGGGGACTGGGAAGTCACCTGTCTAGTGGAGCTGTGGAAGGAGCGAGCCCCCAGTGAACATGCACTTGGCACTGTTGCCAAGGAAAGGCAGTCAGGTCCGCTGGGGCGGCCAGGGCCTTGTAACACAATCTTCCCTACCAAGGACTGCTGAATGGTGGTGCTCTGAAGCTCTGAGTTTGAGTGTGCCCCAAATGGCCCAGAAGCCCCTGCATCTCCTCACCCTCTGCCTTCTCTCTCTACAGTTTGGATGTCTGGTTTTGTTTTTGAGTAAGGTCTTACCTAGCCTAGCCTGATCTTGAACTAGTGATGTAGAAACTGACCTTGAAGTTGGAGCCTCTTGTCTACCTCCTGGGTGCTGGGATTATTGGCATGCGCCATCATGCCTATTTTATGTGGTACTGGGATTGGACCTGGGCATTGTACGTGGTTGGTAGGACTCTACCCAGCCACATTCTCAGTCCCTATGTATTTATTTATTTTATTTTTTAAGATTCATTAAAAAAAAATTTAAGATTTATTTTTTATGTGCATTGGGATTTTGCCTATATGTATGTCTGTGTGAGGATGCTAGATCCCCTGGGACTGGAGTTACAGACAGTTGTGAGCTGCCATGTGGGTGCTGGGAATTGAACCTGGGTCCTCTGGAAGAGCAGACAGTGCTCCTAACCGCGGAGCCCTCCCTCCATCCCCATGTGTTAGCACGCATGTGCCCTCAGAGGTCAAAGGTGTTCGGTGCCCTGGAGTTGGAGTTAGAGGTGGCTGTGGGCCCTCCAGCCCGTGGTGTTGACACTGTGCTCTTCAGGGCGCGCACTGGCCCACAGCTGGCTCATCACAGCTGGTTCAGTGCCGGCCTGTTGTTGAGGGGTTGGTGGTTTCTACTCCAGTGCTTCCCCTTGGAGATGGGGTCTTGCTTAGATCCTCTTGCGTCAGTCTCCAGTGCTGGGACTACAAGTATATGCCCTCACACACTTGGCTTTTTTGGGACTTTTCTGAATAATGTCATAGTGACATTTGCATATAAGTTTCTGCAGGGCATGTGTTTTCATTTCTGTTGGGTGTATTCCTGGAAATGATTCCTGCCGACACCATGGCCTTTCCCAAGTGGTGTGGCAGTTGGTGTTCCTAGTGGTGGCGGCGGAGAGACCCCTGCTTCCACAGCCTCACCTACTCTTGAACCTACCTGGTCAGTTCTCAGGAGCTTTAGTGTCTCATGCTTACTGTGACTGATTCTTGTGTCCTTCGTGTGTGTCTGTGTGTGTGTGTGTTTGGGCACGCAGGTGCATGTGTGTGCGTCTTTGTTCTCCACCCTATTTTTAGAGACAAGACCTCTGAACCTGGAGCTCATCAATCCAGCTAGCCCCCCTGGCCAGGGAGCTCCAGGGGTCTGTCTGTCTCTTCCCTGTGCTGGGCTGTGCCCAGCGGTTTCTGGATTGTTTTGGGTTCTCATGTCTGTGGGTCATGCTTTTCCAGCTGAGCCATTCAATAAGCTGCTGTTCCCGTTTCTTAGGACCTCCCGGAGCTTGAGTGGAGTACAGGCACTCCTTCACTGCAGACGTCACGTCGCACAGTGTGGGCTGCCTTTTTACCAGCACAGGCTTTCCCCTTTTATGTTGACTTACTCCTGTAATTTAGCCTGTGGCAGGGGCGGGAGGGGCCGTGGCCTGTGTGTCTAGGTCAGAGGATGACTTACGGGAGTCAGGTCTCTCCTTTCCACTACCCGGGTCTCAGGGAATAGAACTCAGGTTGCCAGGCTTAGTGGCAAGCACCTTCCTTTACCCGATGAGCCATCTTGACAGATTATTTTTCTGAGACACCATCTCCCTGTGTAGCTGAGGTTGACCTTCAACTCATCAACCTCCTGCCTCAGCATCCTAGGTGCTGGAATTATAGGTATGCGCCACCACACTGGATAAGAAGCTCCCCATTTTAATGCTTTCTGTATCCTGCTTAAGAAATCTTGGTCCACCCCAGGCTTTGTGAGCACTCAGTCTTTTTCCCTGGAACTTTCATGTAGGACTTCATGGTGTGGCCGTGGGCATCTGGGCTGAGTTGGTGTGTGGGTTCTGGATATGTGGCTGTGTGCTGGAGAGACTGTCCTTCCTGCTAGAGTCCAAGGTCATTTGATGCTGAAGTGCTCGTCTATGGGGATATGCTTCTGGAAGTCTCTGTCCTGCTAACCAGAATTTCTTATGCGAACACCACTGGCTAATTGCCAAAGTTTCCTTGCCTTTTTTCCCCTCGCCCCAGACAGGGCCTCACTCAGTAGCCTGGGTCGGTCTAGAAATCACTACGTAGCACAAGCTGGCTTCCAACTGAATGCAGTCTTCCTGCTCCAGCCTCGAGTGCTGGATTACAGGTGTGTGCACCACACTCGACTCCTTGTGAATCTGGAGGAACCTGCTGACTGGCAGCAGGGGCCCCAAGGTGGAAGGTGTGGAGCATATTTGAAGGAAGAGCCAGGAAAGCTGCCTGGGTGGCATGGAGGCCATCCTGAGGACTTAGTGCTGTGTTCCAAATATGTACACAGGGGCGAGTGAACACTTATCCTTATTCGTAAGATATTCTCCCGGAGGGAGAAAAATCCTAGTCTAACTGGGTATGGTGCCACTACCTATAATCCTTGTAGATGGGAAGTGAAGGCATCAGGTCAAGGTCAATCTTAGTTACATAGCAAAATTGGGGCTAGCCTGGGCTACATGAGTTATACCTCAACAACAGACAAAAACCTAAGTCTGGGCATGATGGACACACACCCCCTCCCCCTCCCCCAATTACCCCAGTACTCTGGAAGCTGGGGCAGGATGATTGCGTGTCCAGGTTGAGCCTAGGATACAAAGTAAGCCCATCTCAAAAAATAGAACCAGACATCTTGAGACTGACACAGGAAGGTCCCTGTACCTGGTCTTCTTACCTGTGTGGTCTAGTAGAGACCAGAGGACATCACTGGCTGAGCGGCCTCTGTGCAGTCTCAGGGCAGTGGCCTCGGATGCTGTGTGGGTGCTGTAGATGTTGGGGCTGAAGGCAGTCAACATTTCAACCAGTGCCTCAGCTGGAGGTGCCACCGAGGTCCATAGGGAGCCCCAGCCTTTGCACCTCCAAGGAACCAAGGCTTGGGGCTGCTGGTCCCTGCTGCTCGGCCCATTTGGCAGAGGTGGTTCCCAGGCCTGGTGACTTCCAGGGTACTTGTGCTATCCTTAAAAGGCAGGCAGCCTGGTGGCTCTCCCAGCCCCTTGGAACAACAGGTTAGACCAGGCTCAGCCCTCCTTTGAGACTGAGGCCTACTGGTGCCACTCCCTGTGGCTTCTGTGGTGTCAGGAACTGGAGTGACTTTGGAGTTCGCCCGGGTCAGGCCTGCAGGAGCGGTTGCTTAGGGAGAAAGGTCTCACAGCTGCTGGTGGCAGGGGCTTAGAGTGTGGAGTGCTGTGGGAAGGGAACCGGGTGTAAGGCACCCTAGTGCCAGGGCTTTCCTAAGTGTGGCTGTGTGGCCTGAAATAGGTGCTTCAGAAGCTGGAATGGTGATGGTAGGAGAGCCATGCACTTGCTGGGCAGGAGGACTGGGAGGCTAGCAGACTTGAGGAGCCCAGGGCACACAGGGGCCTGGCCTCCCTTCCTCCTGCTGTGTGGGAAAGAGGAAGCAGAAAGAAAGGGCTGGCCACTGCCGGCCTGGCGGTTTCCTCTGGGCTGGGGAGGAGGTGGCGGGGAGGTGGCAGGAAGCCCCGTCCTGTACCCACCAGCTCTGCCGGGCTCCAGGCTCTGCTGTCCTACAGCCCGCCCCCACCTCCGCCCAGCCATGGGAAAGGCACTTGACCCCTGAAAGCCAGACCTGCCTCGGGACCATTCCAGCTGTGTCCCTGGTGCAGGGCTTTCCCTGTGACAAGCAGTATAGCTGACTGGGCATGGAGCCCTCCCAGCATCCCTTTGAGGCCCATCATGAAGTCAACCTCCAGATAAGACCGGAGGAGGCAGAAGTGGGGTCTTGTGTGAGCACAGGGCAGAGGACATTAGGGTTGGGATTGTGTTTAAACCCACACATGTGCAGAGCAAGCCTGCTGCAGAAGCCACACCCAGATGTCCTAGTGCTTGTCGGGCTCACCCACCTTGGGCCTCGGGGCAGATGCCTACCCATCTCTGAACTGTGAACAGTCAAGGGGCTTGCTCTGGGCCTAAAAGGGATTGGAAAAAGAAGGGGGGAAAAAGGAGGTCCCAGGGCTCCCAAGGGGCCTGCTGCACACACAGCCATTTGAAAGCATGCTCCCCTGGTCAGCCCCAGGCCCTGCTGACACAGCAGGCGGTGGGGTCACTCAGGCTTCTATCGCTCCAGGGCTGTGATGCAGGAGCAGAGCATGCACAGACGGGGGGAGATGCCAGGGAGTTCCGACCCTGGAGCACCCCTGTCCGCTGCCACCACCTTCATGGCGTTGGCCCTGTGGCTTTGTGGGGAGCCATCAAAGAGTCGGGGCTCTAGGCTCAGTGTTGGGGTCATGGTTAAGGGCAGTGTGGTGGGCACTGGGGAGGAAGCATCCGAGCTCCTAGTTTGGCTTATGTCCGTGGGGTGCAGCTCTGGGCTGAGAAGTTGACTTTCTGGTCCTCAGTTTCCCAGTGGTAGACAGAGTGCTCTGGTACATTACCATCCTGAGGGGCAGGAACGACTCTGCGTGGAAAACTCCAGCCCAGAGCTGGGTTTCCCAGGTGGGCCCTCCTCAGTTCTGCGGCCACACTGGGAGTCCTCAGTCCACTGCTTTGTGAATGGACGAGGAAGCAAAGGCCCCAGAAGGGCTCCAGGTGGCCCTCCTCCCTCCCTCTTCCGGCTGAGGCTGGGGTGAGTGGATGGAGACCCCGAAGGAGACAGGCCACCTGGCCTTGGCACCAACACAGGTGCAGCAAAGTCTCCCCCTAGGCAGTTGTCTGAAAGGGGCACGTGGCCTCCGAGTGCTGCCACCGTCTAGGGAACTGACGGGGTTGCCTAAAGTAACTAAAACCACAGATGGGCTCCCCAACATCCTCCTACCCTGACACATCCGAGTGTCTCCTTGGGTTGGGCTCCTCTCCTCACCCCAGGGTCCAGATTCCATTGGAAAATGATATGCTGCCGAGATGTTCACTAGTTCGGAGGGGCATGGCCATCACCACCCTCTCCTAGGACATTAGCTGAAGGACTCAAGCTGGAGGTGGCCTTTGTATATCTGCATTGCATCCCTTACGTTTCCAAGTCACATGCATTATCTTGTTCCTTTTAATGGTCAAATAATATTCCCTTGTATGGTTTTACCATATCTCCCAACCCCTAAATCATGAGTAAGTGGGAATTAGGCTGTTTCCACTTGGGGAGGTTTGGCAAATAATGCTTTGAACATGCTGTGTAGCAGGTTAAGGAGCTGCAGCATTACAACATAATGTGGTTTTCCCACAGGAGCACGGACAGGTCCTCCCTGACTCGCCACGCCACGGCTCCACGTTGGCTGCAGCTGGCGGGACCTGAGCCAGGACTGGACTTGGGTCTCTGGCTGGCTAAGGGTGTCTTTCCCACACTCAGTGACCTTTATCAGGGGCACTGTCTTGTCACCCCACTCCCCACTTTTACACTGTATCTCAGGCTAGCCCACAACTTGTAGTCATTCCATCCCAGCTTACGGTTTTCATTGTGTGTCTGTGCATGTGTGCGCTCTGGTGCCTGTAGAGATCAGAAGAAAGTGATTGCCAGTCACCAGGGAGGTGCCAGGAACCAGACTGGGTACTACGCACAGCACAAAAGTGCCTTTTTTTTTTTTTAAGATAAAATATTTATTTTCTATTTTAGGTGCATTGGTGTTTGACCTGCATGTATGTCTGTGTGAGGGTGTTGGATCCTCTAGAACCAGAGTTAGAGTTGTGAGCTGCCACGTGGGTGCTGGGAATTGAACCCAGGTCCTCTGGACCACTGAGCCATCTCTACTTTCAATACAAAGTGCTCTTAACTGTTGAACTATCTCTCCAGCCTCGAGCCCAGGCCTTTTCGGTTATGAGTATGACTGGCCATCTGCTTGTGTTTGTTTTTCAAGACAGGGTTTCTCTGTGTAGCCCTGGCTGTCCTGGAACTCACTCTGTATGTAGACCAGGCTGGCCTCGAACTCAGAGCCTGCCTCTGCTTCCAGAGTGCTGGGATTTAAAGGTGTGCACCACCACATCTAGCTGCCTTTCCTCTCTTTAAAAAACACCTGGCTCACTCCTCTCGGATCTTGAACTCCCTGGCATAAAGTTCTTTATGTCTCAGAGCCATCACTTCTTTCCAGCCTTCATTTTCACCCCAGAAAGGTTTCTCTGAGGACCCTGATAATCCACCTGGCCTTGACAGGCAGAGTTCTGGGGCTCCCTTCAGCTTGTGAGGGTTCCTGTGGGGCTCTTAATAGGGGGACCCCCTCCCCAAATATAGCCTGAGATGATTTCAAGGGGTCCCTTTAGAACTGTCTTGCCCCTTGGTCCCACTGGGTCTTTCCCCTCCATCATACAATCTTCATGCCATGACATAACAGTTGCGTTGTGTTGCTAGCCTGCAAACCCCACCCCTTGGAAGCACGTTGCTGGGCAGCCCATGTTGCGGTGTTGGCCAGTTCTGAGGATGTCCTCTCTGGCTATTGTGTGACCACTGCTTTCAGGCCTCTGGGACCACCCTGGCGCATGCTGCCAGATGTAGCATGAATCTTAAAAGTTCTTATTAATAAAACAAGCTCAGAGACAGGTATTGGGGTGAACACTGGATGATCAGAGAAGCAGAACAAGCCACAGCTTCCTCACCTTGACAGTTCCTCAGCTGGTCCTGTTTCCTCAGACTGGAAGCTTCTATGTCCTCATCCCAATGGCTCTCAGCTGAACTGCTGCTTGAAAGCCTGAAAGCTTAACCAGCCAAAAAAGCTCCTAGTTTCTGGTCCTCACGTCTTATATATCTTTCTGTTTTCCACCACCACTCCCTGGGATTAAAGGCTGCTTTTTGGGATTAAAGGTGTGAGTCACCATGCCTGGCTGTTTCCATTGTGGCCTTGAACTCACAGATCCAGAGGGATCTCTGCCTCTGGAATGCTAGGATTAAAGGCATGTGCTACTACTGCCCATCCTCTATGTTTAATATTGTGGCTGTTCTCTTCTCTGACCCCAGGTAAGTTTATTAGCGTGCACAATATTTTGGGGAACAGTACCACCATAGCCAGAGCTCTTGCCAAGGGGCCTTTATGCTCCATCTTGACCCTGTAGGGAACTCTGGGGGAATAAAGGTAGCAGGACCAGTCCAAGCCTGGCTAGCAGGTGCCATGAATCTGGAATTTGCAGACTTTCTTACCTGACCCTAAGTAGCCTAGAATGAGAATAAGGTCCAAGAAAGAGGACAGAGTCAGGAAAACGCATGGGCTCAACAGTCTGCTGCTAGACTGGTCAGAGTCCCTCTTCAGACTGACTTCTGGTCTAGTTGGCTTCTACATGTCTCTGCAGTCTGACTGAAATCCATTTTGGAACAAAGTGGGGTATTTGTGTTTTTGTTTTGTTTTGAGAAACAAGGCTTCCCGTTATCTGGGAAGTTAGCCCCCAGCTCCTGCCTCCATCTCCCTAGTGGCTTTTTGACAGGATTGTCCCGTCACTGGAGTGGGTGTTTTCCATCACCCCGGGTTTGAGGACGGCACTGGGGCTGGGAGAAGACAGTGACAAGTGGCAGGACTCAGTTGCCTCAAGGCCTTGTGGGGCCTTTCTCCTGTCACAGGGTGGTGGTCGAGCCTGGCTCTAGGCTGGGAGCTGCTTCAGCCTGGGTGACACCAGTGAGGCTGTGTCCTGCTGTGCCATTCACTAGGCACATGGCTTCTTGTGAGGATTTCCTTTCTTGGGTAGGTGTGGCTTCCTTGGGCCAAGTGCCTTCAGGGCTGCAGCAGTCTGCTGAGATACCGTTGGGTACCAAAACAGATCCCTGCTGTCTGTCCCTTGACACTGAAACTGTGTGGCTTTAAGAGTGACCAGGAATCAGCACAAGGACCCAAGAGGAGGCCACGGCTCTATGTGTCCCCCCCGCTCATGGCTCAGCAGGCTGGGGGTGCAGTGGCTGGTGGCAGGACTCCTGACCCCTGCCGCCTCCTGGCTCTGTCACTGCTGGGACTAGAGAGACAGGAGGCAACTGCAGCGACACAGTTTCCGCCATCATCCTGGCGACAGCTCAGGCCTTTTCTTCCACCATCAGACCCACATCAGCTGTCAAAAATACAGTTTGGAAAAGGGCAGCTCCCATGGCCTGGGGATGTAGAGGAGGGAGGGGCAAGACAAAGTAGAGGAAGGTAGAAAGCCAAGGTTCACTGTGGAAATGCGATTACTAGACTTGACACTGAGCACCCTAACAGCCAAAACCCCGTTTCTGGGCCTGGAAGTCGATGGTCTGGAGTGTGGTGGTTGGCGCCACTCCACTCCCACTGAGAACTCTCAGGGCCTGGCCATTTCAGTGCCACGGCTGTCCTGAGCTGGGTCGAGGGGGAGCTGCTTATTGGCCAGGCTTGACCAGTGAAGTACGCTGGTGAGGAAGAATCCAAGGCCTTCAAGTGTACTTAGGGTTCTGCTAGAGACCCCCCTCTCCCCTCCATAGTCCAACCAGATGGGCCACAGGGCCAGCGCTTGCGTGCCCTGCCCTGGCCTAGTCCAAGCTCAGGCACCCCCAGCAGGCAGCTCAGAACAGGCACTGTGGTGCCAGGAATTGGGGAGAATCCCAAGTCTGGTCAGCACACCGCAATTGTGGACAAAAGTAGGAATCATTTGGCCCATCTCCAGCAGCCCCCCAACCCCCTCATTCCAAGCTGACGGCATTGGGGTGGACTTTTCTGTCTGAAGCTGGGGCAGGGCAAGAAGCAGAACAAGCCCGGCTGGGTCTGATGTTCTCGGCTAGAGCACCTGGAACTCTGTCTTGTCCTGGGACAAAAGCCACAGAGGGAGGGGAAGAGGCCTGTCAGATCCTTCTTCCTTCCTACTGACCCAGCTCTCCCAGTAGTTGATGTCTTAGCTCTGCTGGAAGCTGGTCCTCAGCCATCTCAGCCAGCAAGAACAATCTTACCATCAGAGGAAATAAGGACCAGAGGTCAGGGGAGTGAGGGCCTCCCTCCTAGGAACAACCCTGACCCTAAGCTTTGCCTGAGAACTGGCATCTGTGATGCCAGCCAAACCCAGAAAGGTGGCACCTTCCAGGCATGTTGTGCAGCCAACTGCAAGGACTCTTGCAGCTGACCGTGTGGGCTATCCCAAATCCACTGGGCGGTCGGGTGGGGGAGGACTAAGATGCAGAAGGGCGTTCTGTGCCTCCTTCCTCTAGTGCTGAGAGACTGAAGACAACCTAAGAAGCCTTGAGGGGGGGTTAAAGTCTCCACGGGCAAGCCTTGAGTGGCCCTCTCGTTTTTTTCTAGAGCTCAAAGCCCAAGCTGCAAGAGGCCTGCTCCAGCATCCGGGAGGTCCGGCCATGCACACGCCTGGAGATGCCTGACAACCTCTACACCTTTGTGCTGAAGGTGAGTGCCGGGACTGTGCCTCCCTGGAGGGAGATGTGGCTCTCCTCAGATGCAGAGCTGTATGCTGCCTCTCTGCAGGTGCAGGACCAGACAGACATCATCTTTGAGGTGGGAGACGAGCAGCAGCTTAACTCATGGCTGGCGGAGCTCAGAACAAGCACAGGCCAAGGGTGAGGCCTGCCCCTGCCCAGCTTCGCTCTGATCCTCCTGCTGGCTCCCTCCTCACCCAGCCTCTTCCCCTACAGGCCGGAGCGCATGGACACAGAGCTAGCCCTTTCCTTCGTGGCAGAGCCTGGCCCAGCCAGCTCTCCAAGGGGAAGCACAGACTCCCTGGACCAAGGTATGTGTGCGCCAGACCCTTGGCCTCGGGGTCCTGGACACGTGGCCCCGTGCGTGTTACCACCACCATCCTTCCGCTAGGTGCTTCACCTGGGGCGATGTTGGACCCAGCCTGCCAGAAAACGGATCACTTCCTGTCCTGCTATCCCTGGTTCCACGGCCCTATCTCCAGGGTGAAGGCCGCACAGCTGGTTCAGCTGCAGGGCCCTGACGCCCACGGCGTGTTCCTGGTGAGGCAGAGTGAGTCCCGGAGAGGGGAGTATGTGCTCACGTTCAACTTACAGGGCAGAGCCAAGGTAGGGCAGGGACTGGCGGGCTGGGGTGGGACACTTCAGCCTGGGCGCGTGCAGCAGCAGCAGCAGCAGGCTGACGCCCTCCCTCCCTCCCCAGCACCTCCGCCTGGTGCTCACGGAGCGTGGACAGTGCCGTGTGCAGCACCTGCACTTCCCCTCGGTGGTGGACATGCTCCGCCATTTCCAGCGTTCCCCCATCCCGCTCGAGTGCGGAGCAGCCTGTGAGGTCCGGCTCTCTGGCTATGTGGTGGTCGTCTCCCAAGCACCAGGTAGGAACCCAAGTCTCTGTCAAGGGAGGGCTGGTGTCACGGAAGCCCAGGGCTTGTCTGCTGCACTTCTTCACTGTCGAGACTCACCTCTGTCTTCCCCAGGTTCCTCCAACACAGTCCTCTTCCCTTTCTCCCTTCCTCCCTGGGACTCGGACCCAGGTCTTTCCCACCTCCACTCTGCTGGCGGTCCCCCCAGCCTTGGCACAGAGGCTCTCCCCGGCCGAGGGACACCCCCAGAGCAAATCTTCCACTTGGTGCCTTCTCCTGAGGAACTGGCCAACAGTTTGCGGCACCTGGAACTGGAGCCTGTGAGCAGCGCTCGGGACTCAGACTACGGGATGGACTCCTCTTCCCGGAGCCACCTTCGGGCCATCGACAACCAGTACACCCCCCTCTCACAGCTGTGCAGGGACGCAAACTTGTGAATGTAACCACCCTCCTTCCCTCCAGGGAGCTCCAGGCTGCGGTCAGCCTCCCCAGCTCAGATGTGCCCTCCGCCGCCGGGCCGCCACAGGCCCGTCAGCACAGCCAGCCCTGGCTTCCCCACTGTTTACAGATGGAGTTCTTGTGCACAGGTGCCACTAGCTGGTACCCTAGGCCCAGTCCCCGACCCAGAGGAGGGGGCTCCGGGCCCAGAGCTGGCAGTGGAGACTGACAGTCAGAGCTGACGACAGACTTCCTTCCTAGCAGGTAGGGTCAGCAGGAAGCACAGACAACACTAACAAGTCCCCGTCTCCTTCCCGCTCTGCTCCACCAGGACCCGTGCCATTCTCAAGTCAGGCTAAGAGGCCTGCCTCACTCACCCGAGCTGAGCCAGCAGGCTCGTGTCCTTGTCTGCTCCTCTCAGGACGGTTGCCTGCTATGGGTAGCCACTGTCCTCCCTCATGCAGAGAATGAAGTGTGTCACCCTTTCAGGGACATCCAGGCAGCAGACAGAGAGGAGGGCAGCAAGGGACGTCCTACCCCAGTGCCTTATGTGTAGAAAACAGGACTGCTTTACAGCGGCTTTCCAGAGGATGGGATGAGCAGTGGGGAGACCCGCACAAATGGAAGGCTCCCCGGCCTGTGCAGTGGACCCAGATTTATAGCCCCCCCCCCAACACTCTTCAAGCATCTAGTGGCTGGTACCGTGCAGAAACCCCTGTAAGAGGTCACAGTCAGTGTTCTGTCGAGGCGGCGGCAGCAGGGTCCCCGGTGGAAGGCTGTGCGCCCGCACACGCAATCCCCGTGTAGACAGGGCTGCACTGGTGTGGCCTTTCCCAGGTGTGTGAGTTCACAGGGACTAGAGAGGGCAGCTCCTGAGCACAAAGGTGCCAGTCGGTGCAGCCTTGGGGCTTTTATCAGCGGCTTTAGGGAATCACAACTTATCTTGGACGCGTTGGTCGGAGGTGAGCATGCTGAACCCCTTATCTGTTTACCTCTGTACTGTGCAAGCTCATGTGGCCCTGAGCAGATGGGGGTGGGGTGGGGTGAGGGGTCAGCCAGCTGTGCTTCGCCTTGAACACCCACCACTGTGTTCACGGAGCAAGGCACATCCCACATAGGTACAGGTTTGTGTTCCATCTTTGAGAACTAGCTTTTCTTCATTTTCCACAGAAGTATGAACCAAAGATATAAGCAATATTCAGTCACTGGTCCAGACTCTTCTCTAAGCTGTGTAGGGAGGAAAGGGGCTGGGTGGACAGCGGGGTCCCTGCTCGTGGCCGGAAGCTCAACCAACTTCACGCTAGGGGCACTCACCTCTCCTGGGCCGTCAGACACAGCTCTGGGCAGAGAGGAGCACCTCCGCCCCGCGGCATTGGGGCTCCTCCGCTGTGGATGGCTTCCTTTCGAAAGGCCTCTATTATGACAAAGTCTCATGGCCCTGGGACAGAGTGGCGCTCAGCCAACACCTTTTCTTTCTGCTAGTGTAGGTCCAGTTGGCTTGAAGGGGAGCTCAGTGAGGCCCCATTCCCACCCCAGCCGTCCCGACAGACCGCCGTGGGCAGGTGAGGCCACACTAGGCACAGGGGAGTGGCCCTGTAGAGACTCTAAGTGCGGCTCCACAGTCCCTGCTGCTTTCTCCTGACTAGAACGACACACTAACAGCCACCAGCACCAAAGAATTAAGTCAACTAACCTGCCTTGACTTTAGACCAGCAGTCCACATGGCTTTATCTGGTATCAACTCTTCTGCCTTTGATCATTTCTGGACCACAGGAAAAAGGAATAGTGATTATTACAGTTTTGGGCCACACAACACTATTTTTACATAAGTTTCTTAACCTAAAAGAAGGCTTCATCTCTTCCCTGAGGGCTCTTGTTCAAATGTTACCTTAACATCACGTGACAGACTGTCGTCCACTGCCTCCTAATGAAGACGTGTCTAACAGCCAGTGTGGGGCTGGGAACGGGAAGAGGGGATTTAAACTTCTATCATAGGCAGAAGGTGTTTGGCAAATCTTTGTTTTATGTACTGTATGAGTAACTTATTCTTGAATAATGCAAATTTTGCTACCGTGTACAAATCGCTATATGTGAATTAAAAAAGTTTTCAGAATTATGGCCACGATCTCTGCCACACCACTCCCTCTCCACTGAACTTAGAGCAGACAGCTTGGTTCTCCTGGCTTTCCTGACCCCTGGCTCCCCTCCCCTCCCTGCTGCAGCCCAGATGGACCCCGGGCTCTGTGCTACTAGCAAGCACTCAGGCACTAGGGACACAACGGCCAGCCTGGTAAAGCAGTCCCTCCTGCCCCTGCTGGGAGCACAGGCTGAACTGGGACACAGCCCATCAACAGCGCTTTGGTTCTATAGACAGGAGACAGAACCAGACAGTCTGCAGCTGCTCACAGACAGGGACTTTTGAAAGCCCCCACCTCTGGCCAGTCTTCCTCCTGCGAAGCCTAACGCTAATCCCCCAAGAGGGAATCTCATCTTGACCTTTTCTAGATGCCTTGAGCCAGAAGCGAAGGTGAAGAAAAGTCATCGGTCAGCACCTCCTCCGGTAGGGTCTGTTCCTCAGAGCAGCAAGAGTCGCCACAAACACACACTAACTGGGTATCAGTTTTTAAAACTTTTTTTATTTTTTAATTTTTTTTTTAGTTTTTATTTTATATTATCTACAAAGTAAAAGTTTTCCCTTAACTTAAAAGTTGAACCACTGCAGACAGTGATCGCCTCATCAAACTTGATTTATAAATAATAATCCGTCAGTTTGGCGGTAAGAATTGACTGAACTTGTGTCAAGTTTAGTAAAAGGGCGTTCCAAGTCTTGATTTTTTTTAAAGCGGTAATAGCAGCAAGAATCACTCTTGTTACTTCTTTTGCTAGCTGATGTGTTCATGACTCTCAAGGGCCATTAAAAAATAAATAACTTCCAGTTTCAGCAAGCAGAGCTGGGTACTTGCGGGACCCTGCAACAGCGCATGGAATTATGAACAGCCACAAGTCCCTACATGCCTCTACTCGGTCCAGAACATCCTCCACTGCAAGTGAACTGTTAGCATTCCTATTGGATGGTAAATCAGTGTATCTTTAAAAAACAAAATCAATCAAGTTCTAGTTTTCTGTGCTTCCAGTTGGTAGAAGCAGGAGGAGGGAGGAGGGAATTTGGCCTTTCGGTTCCTCCAGGGCAGCCTTACAACTGCTGTTGGTGGTGGGCTTGTACTGTAAGAAAGAAAAGTGGCTATTTAAACGGAACAGAGGCACCACTGCCCACCAGCCTAGTGTCTGCAGCACGTGACTGTCGACTATTCTTGTGCTAGCTGAGTAGACTGGAGCTTTAATGCTGCCCCCACCCGCCCCAGCTGCAGCCAAGGTGGGGTTGGGGAGGGAAGGGGGGTGAGGAGAAACAAACCAGTCAGACGTAAAACCACTTCAGATACAAGTCCTGGACTTGCTGCTTGTGGGGCAGGAGCACAGGCCTTCACACCCCCTCCCACTAATGCTAGCCAAGCACCAATACTTTCCAAGTCACCGGGGAGACAGGTGTCGCCACAGCAGCCATCCAGTATGAGACATCATGGGCGTCCTGTGTCAGGGCACAGGCTGGGGCTAACACTACACTCAAACCAGTCCGCACACAGCTCATCAGTGTTCTCCTCCAAGCTACAATCAAACTCGGCCATGGGCATGAACCCCCCACATCAGCCTATAGGGACTCAGGAAGGAACACACTTGCCCTGTCCAGCCTGTCATACATAACCAGGAAGGCCAACTGAGTCCTCGGCATGCATCAGCTACCCAGAATGAGGCTGCTGCTCTCAACCAACCCTGATACCAGCAGAACACACACAGACTCCGCTCCGGAGGCCCTGAGCCCTGCTGCTCCCTGACCATCACAATCCCTCCTGCGCACACTTGGACGGGCCTTGCTAGCCAGGTTTGGAGCCTCAAGCAGTGGTCCTGCCTGCCGTTCTACCTGGGCGAGCAGAATGCTCGGGGTGCCCCGGCGGCCCCTGCACACACACGCCTCACCTGAAGGGTGCGTCATATAGGGGAAATGCGCTGTTGTCGAGACTGGAATGGGCTGTAGTGCACTTTGAGCGAGGGCGGCCTGGGGACCGCCGGGTGGCTGTGTCGTCATTAGCATCATTGGCGCATGGGCAGTTGGATGAGAAGGAACCATTCCTGACTGTACATGAGCCTGAAACAGAGAGCTCTTTTACGCATACAGGCAACATCTCCGTCTTAAACAACAAGTCAACTGTTCCTTTCATTGGACTGGGACTCAAGAAGGGGCAAGATGGAGTCCTTGAGTCAAATCCTGCAGGGTTGGGATGGAGACGTTGGCCACAGCCTCCTAGTCCCCAGTGTCTGCTCACAGACTGTCACACAGGGCAAGGTCTTCACCAAGAGCAGGCCTCTACTAGGGTGGGAGGGGCGCGTTCCTAACTCGCCATGGCACGGGGCCAAAGACATCAATGCCCTTTTCAAGTGAGCAAGCAACTAACAAGGAAGGCCTGTGAGGAGGCTGCCTCCCCAGCACCCTTAGCAGCTTCCTGCGCCTCCTCTCCCGCCCTCCCCCAGTCGTGACGGGTTCCCCAGAAGTAGGGTGAGCAGCACTTAGCCCCTCACTCTAAAAGCTTGGCTGGTGGAGCAAAGGGCGCAGTTAAAGGCTCCAGTGAGATGAGGGTGGCCTGAGGCTGGCCCAGCCTGGTGCCCTGGACCAGGTGGTGACAGGGTAGACCAGCCATGCTGGCTGACCGGCTGGCGAGCCCGGCCTCCGCTCTGCGGGAGTGGGCAGAGCAGGAAGAGGCTGCTTCCTGCCTCCCATGCTGTGCGCTGCTCTAGACCGTCACCCCAGCGAGGCGCTGGCTCACACCTCAACAGGCCCACGGCTCTCCGCTGTCCCTGTAATCGAGCCTCTCTCTGCCTCTTCGACACAAACACACAGGGAGGTTTAGGGGAGCCTGTCTCACACGTCAACTCGCAGCCTCTGCTCGACACTGAGGACCCTGACTCTTAGCTCTCACTCCACCAAAGCACTGACCAGACCGGCTCCCCTCCCACTGCACCAGACAATCAACACGAGGACGGCCTATGGCCCTTAGCTCTGGGGGAAGGAAGGACACCTAGTAACAAACTAGCCTTCTGCAAGAGACCCAACCGCACGGCATCTCGAGCCCACACCTTGCCAGAGCCTCACTGGCGCACTGTGACAGGAAATGGAGTCATTCAGTAACCCTGAGTGAGACCCGCCTCAGGGAGCTGCGATCAAAGCAGCCGAGACACCTGATGCAGCCACCTTACACTAGACAGAGGCCTCCCCTGGCCTGGGCTGCCCACAGTCCACGGCCAAGCACTCAGGAAGCACAACACAGGACTGCAGCAGGTAGAGGGTAACCCGGCCAACAACTGAGACACGTCTCGGAATTCGTGTGACTAACATTCAAGCCAACGGGCCAGTACAGTCACCTCAGAGAGCTGAGAACCACTGACAGCCTGCCTGCCGTCCCTGCCAGGCTCCCGTGTGTGTGTGTGTGTGTGTGTGTGTGTGTGTGTGTGTGTGTGTGTGTGTGTGTGTGTGTAGAAGTGTCTATATGTGCACACATATACACATGGTGGTTAAGCTAGAAAGACGCAGCAAAGCAGACACAGAGAGGAAAAGACCGGGGTGCATTCCAGACTCAGAGTTTTAAGGTCTCAGCTGGGAGATGCTAAGTCACAATTTCACTGATCCCATCACAAAATCATAGCAACATTCACTGAGGGCCAGAAGATCACGTACTAAGCAGGGAGGGGGAGACAGGCAGATGGCACCACACACAGGGTTTCCTGGCTTGGGGAGCATCTGGCTCCTTGCTTGCTTATCTGACAACCACCACACCCTACGTGGCCTTCACAGAAACTTGGCTAGTGCTGTTTTACCTGAGGTACGTGGGCCATGTGGGGAGGGGTGGTGTATGCCGGCTGAACATGAGAAGGATGGATGGTGAAGACTGTCTGTTGTGCTGCTGGGAAACTGCTCTGTGGAGACTGTGTATTAGAGGCAGGTGTCATGGAAGGTGGGGTCGGTGCCAGCCCCGCGTGGTAAATGGCTGACTGCTGCTGTGGACTGGCCAGATGAAGAGCTTGGGCGGCCTGGTGCTGATGGTGCTGCAAAGCAACGGGAGATTTCTTGACTGAGAAGCCGTCAGGATGAGAGCAGCAGCCCCGCCCCAGCCCAGCCACGCCCAGGAAGAACACCAGGGCATCTCCTGTCCAGACAGTCTTTTCTGGGTTCTCCAGCCCATGCACATCTCAGCCTGGCAGTTACAGGTCCAAACAAGTAGAGGTGGAACAACTCACGGGACGCCTGGCCATTCACTGCCCACTAGCAAATGTGGCTAAAGAAGCCACAGGAAGGCAACATTATCAAGTGGCTTCAGGAATGCAATTCCAGACAGTGCTTTAGACTTAAGCTAAAGTAGCTTTTCCACAATCATGTTTCCGGCATTTACCCTTAGGGGATGGCTTACTTGACATGACATTTTCAAGACCTCCCCTGTACCCACAACTGCCTGCAGCTACGTCACGATGGCTGCTCCATACATCCTGATCACACAGACTTGTAAGCAGCCGAGACAAGGAAGCAGCTGTCCACGCACAGCCCACATCTCCTTACCTGAACAGGACTGGGTGCAGGATGACTTCCACCATGCTGGCTTTGTTGCTGTCCAGTGGGAGTGGCCGAAGGCTGTGGATGGGGCGTATGTGGATGCAGGGTGGCATTAGGATGCGCATACTGCTGAGCAAGGGAGCCCGTGGAAACTGAGGCAAAAGGAAAAGGAATGTGTACAACCGATACATGCTGATGACCACTGCCAGCCCGCTATGCTCACTGAATGCCTCACGACCACTACAATCTGACCCATGCCACTGACATTCTCTGCAGCCGTTTACATCAGGCACAGTCTGGAAAATACACATCAGGGCTCTGCTTCACAAGGGCAGCATTTAACTCACGTTACAGCTCTGCACATTACACCAACACCTAGTTAATCTGAATTTACTCAACAGTCCATTTCTTTTGGAGGCAGAAACAATTCCAAAAATCACTCTGGCTCACATGAAGACATGTGCTGCCTCTCTCAGGGCCATCCTCTGGCCACCCTCACCATGCTACTGTCCTACAGTCTCAGCGCCCACATTGGTGAAGCTGGGGGCAAAGACAAGGTCATTGTTATCCCAGTCACAGCATCCATTCCACTCCTGCTTCCTACTGCGGAGCTCCTAATAAAGCCCAGAGATGAACCTGCCCACCCCATCTTGTTCACTAGAATACCACCAAAGGAAACACGATGACCCTCTTAAAATGTGATCAGAGACAAAGACCCAGAGGCAGCTCGCTCTCTATCTAGTATGGGCTCCACCCTGGTACCAAACAAGATCAAGAATTAGATGAACCCTGCCTTCACAACAGCAGGCTGAGCATGAAAAGCCTGGGAAGGTCTCACTGCTCCTGTAACTCTGGACAGCTCACGGGTTCAAACTTCACAGGGAGAAGATGGAGTCAAAGGTCTATCAGCCGGACCCTTAGCCCTCCACAGCAAAGCTGCTGTCACACCATGCTCATGCTCTTCAGATAATACGTCATCTGTGTTTACAGATGGAGTATGGCAAAGCAGCAAAGCTCCTGAGAATGGCCAGCATGGAGGACTCCGGCTGCATACCACCTCAGTGGGAGAGAGGGTTTACGGACAGTAAACAGTCCTTGTGTGCCACAGTGCAGGGCACTCTACTCCCAACAGTGTGGTCTTGAATGGTGAATGCATCTCAGAGGGCAAAGCAGAATGCCAGAGCTGGGATGACCTGTGCACCAAACCACCAAGGCCACAGCTGTCACCGATGTTCCTCAGTATCCAGGTTAGACTGATGGAGGCGGTTTTGTTTAGACCCCAGTCAAGCTTCCCAGACTGGTAAGAGTCAACAGACAGACACGGTAACGAGAAAACCACGGCAGTCTAATGTCGGGTGTCTTCAACGTGATGGGTTTCTGTAAGTCAGGGAGTCGCTGTCTTCCAACTTGCTGGATTGTTCAAAGCCACCCTTAACCAGCACAGTACTTAAAGCTACTCTTCTTCTTGGAGACAGATCTCCTATGCACCCTAGGCTGCTGGATGATGATGACTGGTCTAAAAGTCCCATTTTTAAACCACATACGTTAAAACCCTTCCGCTGTTTAATGTTTCCTTTGTAGCAATGCTAAATCCAACCAAGGGAAAGAAATCCTCAAATTCTACTTAGAGGGTTTTATAAAGACAGTTGGTACAGAAGCTCAAGAGCTCTGAGATTTCATTAGTAATTAATTCCCAAGTATTCAGAACATAAAAAAGAGAGAGAAGGAAAAGGCGTCGAGACACAGCTCGAGAACAGAAAGGGAAACAACAAGTAACTCTGAGGAAACTAGGAAAAGGCTGCACTCCCGTCGCCATGGAAACACAGCCACCGCAGTAACAGTGATTATGTCCACCAGTCTCAGAATGTACAAGTCTTGATTCTGCCGGGTGGAAAGATAATTAAGATTCTTATTCCTTCATACCTCAAGTTGGCCTGGAACCCACCATCCTCCTGACTATCACACACACACTCAGCCAGGGTGAAATGGCTTTACTACTTACTTACTTACATTTTATGCTAAAGATGGAAGCCAGAACATCCTGCATACTGAGTACATAGTCTACACAGAGTTACCACCCCTAGCCACGTTTGTAAAATGTAGTCATCGGAAGGAGGCCTAATGGAGCCTCAACTCTCATTCTGTCGTTCAAACCCTCACACAACATCATGTCGCTCAGGATGACCTTGAACTTCTAAGAGAACATCTTGCCTTAGCTTCTCACATGATGGGGTTATGATTTTGCTCCCACACCCAGTTTTAAATTTTATGTTTATATACAAGGTCTTGCTACATTGCCTGGCTAGCCCCAAACTCTTAGGCTCAACCAAACTTCCTACTTTAGCCTCTTGAATAGGCAAGGACATACATCATGTCCAACTTTTAACTATGTATTTGAAAACCTTAAAATTATTATTGGTGTGTGGATGCCAGGAGGCGGGGGTGGAGGAACGTGACAGGGTTTTTCTGTGTCAGCCAGCAGAGCTGGTTTTCTCCCTCTACCTCTACGTGGGGTGCAGGCTTGAACACGGTGAACTTTTACTGTGGAGCCATCTTGCTGGCCCTATAGATACTTCTTTTAAAAAGATCTATTTTTCTTGTCTATAAAAACCCCAAACTGAAGCCGAGCTCACCTTCCTCCTAAATACCAGGTAACAAGTCCTTAGACGTAAAAGGCAGAGCTGTGAGAGGCAGAGCAGAGCTGGAAGCAGCACTTTCAGAAGCATCGCTAGCAATGTTTCCATCTGCTTAGGTGCTGGCTCCAAGCGTCTAAACAAGCCCCTCACAGAGTAACTCCCTTGTGAGAGCCTGGAGCCACGGGAACCCGACAGTCACTGCACACTAACAGCGAAGAGACACAGAGTGGGGAGAGGGAATTCTAAACCCAGGGAAGACAGGTGGGAGCGCAGAGATGGGTAAAGACAGGAGAACACGGAGAATGAGAGCACAACTCGGGAGAGCAGGGAACAAGGGTCTCAGCGTAGGGCAGGACTGAATGGTTCTGCTCTACCGGTTAATCTGACGTCCTGGGAAGTTAAGACTGAATCCTCCCTCTCAGAAGCTCTGAAATGGCTATTCACCAGCTAACCCACTACTTACAAGGCCTGAGCAGCCTTACGAGAGCTGCGTGAGAAGAGGACAAAGTGTTTCTTGACCTAAATATTTACAATTCTAAATATGCCATCAGTCAAAAGATGTTTAACACTGACTACACCTAAAACCGGTCTCCTAAGTTAAGATGTTAACAGAAGCAACTTCAGTCCATAGGGCCACGTGTTTGACCTTTTTGACCGTGGATGCACAAGTCGTCACCGGTGCTCCCCAGCACTGGAAAACGACACTGACAAGAAGCAGGACACGATCCTCCGACTTCAACACTAATTCTGAAAAGGGGATATGACTCAAGGAGGACATTTCAAGGGGAAGGGAGTAAGAGACACCTAACTAAACCCTGGGGAAATGGAAGTGGAACACCGTGGCGACTACAATCCCCACTAGCAGCTGGTGGATTTTTGACTCCTTGAAAGTCAGGAGGGAGCTATGCTCAGGCTGTTAGTGCTCCGGGAAGATGACTGAGGACCTTCAGCCATTGACCAGGACAGGGACTGTAACAGACAGCAGGATGGTGAGGAGAACTGCATGTGAAAGCTGTCCTCATGGTACAGTCAACAAGACTTTCCACTTTCCCAAGAGCACCTTGTTAAAGGACTCCATTTGTTAACTGATCCCGGGCACAAAAAAAAAAAAAAAAAAAAAAAAAAAAAAAAAAAAATTTTTTTTGAATACCAAGCCTTGGTACAATTAATGAAAATTTAAGGTCAAAGTGTTTCCAAAACCCTGTACCTGATGATTAGCAGTCATGCCAAAATAACCCAGAATTTACTCCCTAGTAGAAAACTTAAATCTCAGCATTCTCTAGAACTCATGTTTCATACAAACTGACATCAGCAGCATACATTTCTCAAGGATCTGTACTACCAAACTCCGTGATCTGCTTTATTTGAAAACACTGCCCCCAAACAGGGAAACCCATCTATCAACTTCACGCAAGGGAAGGCGGCAGCCTAGACCTCCTTCTGTTGGCTGCAAGGCCTGTGCTTCCAGGTCTACTCGTGCTGAGGGAAGCTCCAGACACCCCACCATAGCTGCTCCAGGCACTCTAAGCCTCTAGTCATGAAAACACAAACCAGAAAGAAGAACTGCCTCTCCAAGTACATCCTCCACCCTCTGCTACAGGAACCCCAGTGAGGACACTTCTCTGTCGCCAGGACACTACAAAACCAGGGATTAAGCTTTACGCTAAGTTTGTGGCTTGTTCAAAAACAGTATTAGTTGTTCAGAAAGTTTCCCTGAATAAGGTATTTCCCACACAGTTACACTCTTGCTTTGTATGCAAAAACTGCTTCCTAAAACAACTCAGCCTTCCTTTGTCCCCAGCCTTATTAAGACGGGCCAGTTTTTCTGTCAAAACTCGGAATTACACAAACACAGCCACAATTTTTTTTTTTAACTAGGGAATAAATTCAGGGTCTAGTGCATGCTAGGGCAAGTATTCTACCACTGAGCTACATACATCCCCAGCCCCACATGCATACTTTGAATGATTCTGTCTAGCAGAAGGAAAATACTCTCCAACAAGTTAGCTATTTTAACATGTATCGCTTAGTGTTTACTGTGTAATTAAAATTAGTATAAAAAACCCAACTCACTGGCAAAGTAGAAAGAAGGGCTTGTCTCCTTGTTGTATGGTAATTTGGGACATGCTGAATTTGGGAAATAGAAAGGTACATTAGCCTCTTGAGGTGTGCATTGCTGATGTTCTGGAAAGGCCGACACATTCAGTGATCTTTGTACTGATGCACGGTTCGCCTGGACAGGGGTGGGTGCCCAGCACTGTAAATAAGCATTGCTGCAGAGATTTACAAGCGAACAGGACTGAACCGGAAGGCTTTCCTTCTGTACTGAGGGAGCAAGTCCACACGCTGACTTGCTTAAATAAAAAGAATAAGATTATTATCTAATATAGAACCATTCACTGATAAAAAGACCAACATGGCATCCATCAAACAGCCTTGATATAAGCAGTGGACTGAGGTAATGCAATATTTAAGCAAATTCATGATATACAATTTTTCACAGCAACACAAATGTAATTACAGACCCCTGGTAGTGAATCCTAAAGTTCATGATATAAAAATATGAACACAAGCCGGGCAGTGGTGGCCCACGCCTTTAATCCCAGCACTTGGGAGGCAGAGGCACGTGGAGCTCTGTAAGTGTGGGGCCAGCCTGATCTACAGAGTGAGTTCTAGGACAGGTAAGGCTACAGAGAGAAACCTTGGCCTGACCCCCCCCCCAAATATATATGTATATATACACATACACACATATAAACACAATATTTATGTTCATTATACTTAAAAAAACTTATCTGCGTTAAACCACACGTTCAAAATATTCAGCTGAGTGTGGCTATACACACCTCCAATCCCAGCACCAATTGGGAGCCAGAGGCAGGTAGATCTCTGGCAGTTCAAGGCCAGCCTGGACTATATAGCAAGTTCCAGGCTAGCCAGGGCTACATAGAGAGCCCCTGTCTTTGGAGAGGTAGAGGTGGAGAGAGGCAGAGCACATTCAGTTCTTCGTCTCATTATTGTTTCTGGAAATGAAACCATTGCTGGATCCCAACTCAGATGAGCAGGAGCCTGATATGAGGGGCAGACGTGAAAGTCACTTCTTAGGAGGGGAGAGGCAGCAAGATGAGGTGCTAACACAAGTCCTTTCTTAAGAGAGTACAAGGTCACACATGCTGTAGCCTCCTTGTCAAGAAGGCCCTTGCCTTGACTACACCAGTAACCACCAACAAAAAGGAGATGCCCGATTAGCACCAACAAGTGCGGCAAAGCACCATCACATCATCAAATCTGGAGTTAGCTACAAGTCAATGTAATTCGATTTCTTGACATATCAAATACATACTTTTCCAAGGACATGGACTTAAAATCAGCATTCCCATACAACAGTTCTCAGACAGTATTTTGGCATAACTGACCAGAGGAAGAGCCAAACTACCTAAAATTACTGGAAGGTACTGACAAACTTGTATGAACAGATTGTGACTGCAAAAAAACACCCCAACAATTAACTCCCTGGTGTGCTTTCAAGGAACTGCACGACCAAGCAACCCTTCTGCAGTGTTGCCCTGGCTGCCACAGTGGCTGTTCCTAAAAGCACTGGAAACCTCAGCTCCAGACTTTGCTGATCCAATGGGGACATGCCAGAAAACAGGAGGGAAGAGGTGGTTCTTCTTAATCTGCAGGAACCACCAGTGTCCACAATCTCACCAGCTTGCCACCCGAGCCTCTAACAAGCTGGAAAACTGCAGGAAGGCCAGGAAGAGGATCGCCAGAGTCTTTCCATACAAGGGCTGATCTGGTCCCAGGGAACACACACATCATGATGAAAACTGAAACCAGGCCAGGCTATCACTTTATAAATCAATTAAGGGGGACTTTTGAGACAGAATCTTCTAGTCACTTAGACTGGTCTTTGAATTTCTGATCATCCTTTTTCCTGATGTCCACAGGGCTGAGATTTACATGCTCACCATGCCAGGAAAACAAATGGACTTTTTTGTTTGGTTTTTCAAGACAGGGTTTCTCTGTGTAGTTTTGGCACCTGTCTTGGATCTCACTCTGTAGACCAGGCTGGCCTCGAACTCACAGAGATCCACCTGGCTCTGCCTCCTGAGTGCTGGATCAAAGGCGTGAGCCACCATTGCCCGGCCAGGTGGACTTCTTGAAAGCACAGCAGACTTCAGAATTCTATAAAGGCAGATGTTTTCCATGGCATATATCCTAACTCCTAATGAACCCCAGTGGCAGGTGTGTACTGCTTGAATGCATGTACGTGATTAAAAATACAGTAACAACAACACTCAGGCTGTCCAATCCTAATCTCAATCAACCGGCACAAATGTTACAACCATCAAGAAGGATCAAAGAAGTGTTTACTAGAACCTAGAAATGTAACTGTCCGGCATATGCTCAGTAAGGCACAAAACAACAACAACAACAACAACAAAAACACTAGAAATACAACGTCTGTACAGCTGCATGTATTTATCATCTTAGTCCTACAGTGTGCACTTCTCAATTTTATGAGTAAGCGATACTCACTATGAACACAACTGTGTGTTAAGTTTGTTTTGGTGTCATTTAAAGCTGGGACAAGCACACAAGCACACTGTAAAGTGGCCGGGCAGTGACAAGGGGTAGAAGCAGGGATGGTGGCACCCTTTCCTGCAAGGCTTAGGCAGCAGGGTAAGTGGAAAGACCCGACAAAGATACCCTCTATTACATCATTACCTTTTTGTTCCTTTCAAAACAGGGTCTTACTATGTAATACCAAGCTGGCCTCGAACCCCCAGAGATTCGCCTGCCTCTGTCTTCCTGAGTGCTGGGATTAAAGGCGTGCGCCACCACACCTGGCTCATGTTATCATTTTTTAAAGGAGAAACAAGTCGAGACAAGAACTACAGGTACAAAGTAGAAATGGTCTTTTGTTTTTGTTTTAAGACTCTCAATGTCACAGTCAGGTTACTTTTACTTCTTGTTTTTGAGGGAGGTCTCTTCACTGCCCAGGCTCGACTCTAACTCCTGGGCTTAGATGATGCTCCCACCTTAGTCTCCCCGCAAGCAGCCAGGATGTAGGGTCCCCCCAGCCCACCTATCTCAGGCTATTCCTAAACAGAGAATCTTCCCAGAGCTTTAAAGCAAGCACAGCCATACACACAGAAAAGACAGTGAAATGCTTCTTACCATACATGGCATGCGTCTGCTCATGAGCCCCGAACTGAGCTGCTGAAGAAGATACTAAACCAGGCTGTGCATGTGCTGCTGGAGCCATCATTCTGGCACTGCCCTGTATGACAGGGCTGTACACGTGGGGATGCTGCGTTCAGACAAAAACAGACAAACACATACATAAATAAAAAAATCATACCAAAATGAACCATGTGGATCTTAGTTAAGATTCATGGTGTATGTGTGTGTGTGTGTGTGTACGTATACATGTGTACACGTACACATGCATGCACTAATGTCTGTGTTGGTGCATGAAGAGGCCAGAATAAGGCATCATCAGATCCCCTGGTCCTGGAGTTACAGGAAGCTGTGAACTGCCATGTAGGTGCTGGGAACCAAACCTGGGTCCTCTCAAGAGCGGGAAGTGTTCTTCACTACTGAGCCATCCATCACTCCAGCCCAGTCAGTTCCTATTCCTACCTTCATGGTTCCCAGAATGAATGTGGTTCACATATATACATGCAGGCAAAACAATTATACACATAAAATAAATCACAAATCTAAAACAATTACTATAATTCTAACTTGCAGAGAAACGTAAAAGGCTCCATCTCCTTAACTATCTGATACCATTAAACAAAGCCAAAAACTCCATAAACATGTGACCAGCCAAAATGAGCTGTTTTTGTCAAGAGTTACAGTGAGTGAAGCCTCCCGCCTTACCTGAGACTGATAATGTGGCACATGCTGAACTAGAGGCTGATTGGGAAACTGCTGAGGGCTGTAGGCGACGTACTGAGTGGAGTAAGCGGGTGGGGTGGCTACAATGGGGGGGCCTGCCGCTGAGGCAGGGTGCATCATGGTGCTTTGATGATGCTGGTCTTGCCGCTGTTGGGGCATATTTGGTACTGCAGGGAAGAAAAAGAAACACATGAATAGGAAATGAAGCTTCCTCAGCACAATGCATGCACCTGTGTGATCTGACTCTGATCCTGCCTCGCACGGCTCCCACCCACCTTCAGCCACTCAGCTTACCATCCTGCTCTCATCCTCAGGAATATGACCCACCCTTCAGAGTTCAGCTGGTCAAGTGGTCTTCCCTTCACCTGGCTTTCATCGCTAACATAGACATAGTATCAGGATGGGGGAAGTGTGTCCGATACATTTTATCATGTGTTTGAAGGGCATGAAAGTTCACTTCAGAAGAAAAATAAGAATGACAATACAAATCCAACGCCTACCACTCAATCCCCTCTTCACTTCCCATCCCGTTTGGATTTTGTCAGGACCCCGGGAATGCTCAACAAGCCCACCACTGAGCTACACCCCAGCCAGCCCTCCTCGTCTCCCCCAACATCACACACCACCAAGGGCACCAAGTGGCAGGGTTCTAATTAACATCCCCATGCGCTTCCACATTCCTACAAGGGTTCCTTTTCCAGACAAATGCCAGCTGAGAGCTGCGCACACCTTCCACCCAACACCCAGGAGGCAGAGGCAGGAGGGTCTCCGTGGAGTGCTCACACACCCACTGTGTCACCGGGGCCTTTCTCCCACAAATGCCTAGCGGTTCTAACTGTCACACCTGTTTCTGATGTCACGCTAACTGAGGGGAGGAACTACATGCCTCGTGAGGGGTACGGCACCAAGAACATATAACATGGCTTGTTCACTAGGTGAACAGAATCAAAGCAACTATTTATATCTATGTATTTATTATTTTAAATTTTTAAAAAGGTTGGCTGTACATTTAATGACTACTATAATTTATGTTATCTATTTAGAAAGTAAACTTGAAAACAGAAGAAAACAAAATAATGAATTTTCCCAATATAGTCCTGGCAGTCCCCATGTTAAAAGGTGCTGAACTAAATACTGCGGAGCTAGTGGGAGGCTTTTTGGCAGGCACGAAGCAGTGAGGCCACCCCGAGTGCCACACAAACCAGCAGAACTGGTGCACACCTGCACAACTGTAGCACAAGGAAGGTGGAGGTAAGACGAGCCTGAATTCAACACAAGCATAAATGCACTTTTGAGGCTGGCTGGGATACATAACCCCTGAAGATAAATACATTAGAAAAGAAACAAGCAAACAAAGCCCAGAGCTAGTCATGCATACCTGACCCCTACAGAGGTGTTCTACTGACTTGGCTGTAGTGGTTTCTACAAAACTGAATGTCTATGCATCTTAGGTCACACTTTATACAGACCACACTTGAACCATTCCACATGTCAGCAGCAATTCTGCCCAACACAGGCCATGTGGCAGTGCCTGGAGACTGTCTGAGTCACTGTCATCAAGGTAAGTTGGGGGTACAACTACGAGGGTCTGGTGGTTGCCAATAAGCACCCCAGTCCACAAGGGGTTTCTCCCCTGTAGAAAAGAACACCAGCCACAAATGGCAATGGTGTCAGGGTGAGAAAATCTACTTGAAGCCTGGCATAATGGTTGCAGGCATGAAGCTCAGAACCTGAGTATAGGAGGCAAGATCAGTAGTTCAAACTCCACACAGCTACAAAGAACTGGAGGCCAGAGCAGACCCAAGGACTCTGTCTTGAACAAAACAGAGGTGTGTGTGTGATCTACTTTATGTTAATTCCCTGACTGGCATGTGTTCAAACATAAATCTACCAGCCTCACAGGATGCACAAAAGGTAAATGTAATTTATGACGAGGGGAAACTGAGGTGTAGTTTTATGCAACGTTTCCACTGCCATGCAAGAAAAGGTCTCTTTTGTATGGTGTGTGGAATTTTAGAACCAGCACTTGACTTTGTATATTTGAAAGATATTAGAAATACCTTTGTCCAGCACCTCAGTTTGTTCAGGAGCGGCACAGCAGTGTAAGGATACAGTAAACACACAGGCAGAGACAGCTGCCTTTGCAGGACTTTCTAAGTTATGACTTAGAAGATACAAAGTACTGATATTTCCAAAACAGCAGTTTAAAAGGCAGATACTGAGGGAATGCATGAGACCCTTTACTTCTACCAGAACAAGTTTATTCTTGGATTTTCAACTCCATGAAGGGAGACAATCTCCTCTAGGTTAATTTCTAACTTTACTGAGAGTCTAGTAAAAATGCTAGCTGGAAAAATATACAATTCCTTAAGTTGATAATGCTCAAAGCATACAACACATTATTTTTTATCTTTAGAGACAGTTTTAAAAGGGCACCTCCTTTTCAATTGCATATGGTGTGCAAAAAAAAAAAATGAGGGGGGTAGATATAGGGTCTCATGTAGCTCAAGATGACCTTGAGCTTCTGATCCTTCTGCCTCAGTTTCCCAAGTATTATTAGAACTATAAGTGTGTGCCATACACACAATGAGAGGAGACATGACCCACCTCCACTGAAAGAACATGCACCACTCATAACAGCACAGACTGAATAAAACAAGAAACAAAACCCAAAAAAGCCCTATAGTCTGTCATTGCGGCAATTTGGGAGGCTGAGAAAGGATGAGTGTGAGTCCCAGGCTTCCTGGAACACAGAGGCAGAGAGCAAGGCTATCCAGGACAGCTTCAATGACTCTCTCCTCCCCTCCCTCTCTCCCTTCCTTGTGCTTTGATTGCCATACATGAAGCCCTGAGTTCAATTCTCAGATATATCTTCAACACCAGGGGGAAAATAAAAACCAACTTTGTTCTGGAAATTACTATTATGTAGTAATAGAAGTTTCCAGGGCTGGAAAGCAAGTAAGACTCCTTTAAACAAACACTACCCAAGGATACGATCAACAAGATTCAGATGCTGCCAAGAAATTAAAAAATGCACTCATTGGACTTAGAGACCAGTACTAAAGCTGTGGGCGGGGCAGGAGGAGACTCGGGGCGGGCAGCAGCTGCTTCCACACAGGAGCAACACAACAGGGCAGCTCACAGCCACCCGTAACAGCCCCAGCAGACCCAACACCCTCTTCAGACGTTGGAGGGTATTAAACATGTACTTGGTGTATATACATACGGACAGGGAGACAAATACATGACAATGAATTCTTTTTT